AAATGGCCAACTTTACAGCAGAAAAAAATGTTTACAGCCTAGTACAAAAACTGCTTTTGGTATATAGGTAATTTTGCCCTTCATGACAACTGTGAGGGTGGTGAATTTTTTTTCTTTAGGCTTCAAAAATGCTCTTCTGAACCCTACGAGTGACGTCACGGACACTACGTCCATGTTTTTTTACAGTCTATGGTTTATACTTATAAACAAATCAAGATGTTTTAAACTTTAAACCAATGCTTCTGGCTGAAATACGAGTCCATAATTCATAATAACGCTTCCTCCAGTAAAAAAAGTAGTTTCGCCTGAATCAAGAGAGAAATATGCATAGATCAAGCAGAGTTTACAAGCAGAAACATTTCTAAACTAATATGTCAGTGGATTTTGATATGTGAGGACAACAGGGGATGGACTTTTTCACCAGAGAAATAGTTATGGATTATGGACTTTTGTCCAGAAACAGTGGATTAAAGTTAAAATGCCATAATGATAGATTCATTTGTTACAAACTCACAGCTTTTCGCTTCACAAGATGTTAACTGATGGACAGGAGTTGTGTGGACTACTTGTGGATTATTATGATGTTTTTATCAGCTGTTTAGACTCTCATTCTGACGGCACCCATCACTGCAGAGAATCTTTTGTTGAGCAAGTGTTGTGATGCTAAAAAAGAAAACTCATTATCATCTTTAATGGCCTGAGGCTGAGAGTGAGTCATTTTTTTTTTCTGACCGTAACAACCAGACAAAAGGTTAAACGTGAGTGGATACCATTTTGCAACCAATTTATTTGCAATGTTCGCTAACATTAAAGGATGCAAGACATACTTAGCCTATTGTTTTTACATCGAACGGAATGAAAATAGCTTAACCTTAGAACGAAATGTTGTTTTTATCAGCTGTTTAGACTCTCATTCTGACGGCACCCATCACTGCAGAGAATCTTTTGTTGAGCAAGTGTTGTGATGCTAAAAAAGAAAACTCATTATCATCTTTAATGGCCTGAGGCTGAGAGTGAGTACATTTTCAGCAAATTTTCATTTTTTTTGGGTGAACTATTCCTTTAATAAAAGAATATGTTCTGAAACTAACATACTCGGGCATTGTTTTGAATTATTGATGCTACCAGTTAAAACACCGTATGCAATTTCAGGTATAATTTATCCATCTATTTTTAAATACCTGATCATTCTCGTTTTCTATAGTGTGATGACGATGACGACGACAACAACAGCAACAAAAAAGTGAACTTACAAAAAGAAAAATTGTACATTTATATATTATATACATTTAGGTACTAAGTAATATTAATTAATTAACAACAACTTAGGGGTTTGGGTTAGGAATAGGGTTGGTTTAGTTAACATGTAATTATGCAGAATTTACTGTTATCACTAAAGTAAGTACATAACGTGTAACAAGGACACTGTAAAATAAAGTGTGGAAACAGTAAAATTTGATTTGGAAACAGTGTTCTTGATTCTGCTACTTTTGTTCTTGCTGTCTTTTAGCCCATGAGAGCACCTGCAGTTATTTGTGCGACTGCGCACTAAATTTCACTTGGGAAAATATGAAAATGATTTTATGAAGTCAATTGCTTGA